AGCATTCTTGGCTGCAGGTTTCTCTCATTCAGCACTTTTTTTTAAAGATTTTATTTATTTGAGACAGAGAGAATGAGAGACAGAGAGCATGAGAGGGAGGAGGGTCAGAGGGAGAAGCAGGCTCCCTGCTGAGCAGGGAGCCCGATGCGGGACTCGATCCCGGGACTCCAGGATCATGACCCGAGCCGAAGGCAGTCGCTTAACCAACTGAGCCACCCAGGCGCCCCTCTCATTCAGCACTTTGCATGTATAACAGCGCTCCTTTCTGGCTTGGAAAGTTTCTGCTGTAAAATCTGCTCATAGCCTTATGGGGTTTCCTTTTTATGTAACTGTTTTCTTTTGTCTTGCTGCTTTTAATATTTTTCTTTATCACTATATTTTGCCATTTTAATTACAATATGTCTTGGTGTGGATCTGCTTTTGTGATTTTTTTGGGGGGGGGTTCCGTGTGCCTCCTGGATCTGTATATCTGTTTTATTCCCAGATTAGGGAAGTTTTCAGCTATTAATTTTTCAAATAAATTCTCTGTTCGCTTTTCTGTCTTTTCTTCTTCTGGGACCCTAAAATATGAATGTTACTTTGTTTGATGGAGTCACTGAGTTCCCTAAGTCTGTTCTCATTGTGCATAGTTCTTTTTTCTCTGGATTACTTTTGCCTTTTTTTTTTAAGATTTTTTTTTTATTTATTCATTTGAGACAGAGATAGAGAGAGAGCATGAGCAGGGGGAGGTGCAGAGGAGAGGCAGAAGCAGTCTCTCTGCTGAGCAGGCAGCCCGATGTGGGACTTGATCCCAGGACCCTGCTATCATGACCTGAGCCGAAGGCTTAACCATCTGAGCCACCCAGGTGCCCCTCTCTTGATTACTTTTAATTACTCTGTCTTCTAGGCCATTAATTTGTTCCTCTACTTCTTCCAGCCTGCTCTTCATTCTATCAAGCGTGTTTCCTATTTTGTTTATTGAGCCTTTTATCTCTACTCTGTTGTTCTTTATCTCTGTGTTAATGGTCACACTGATGTCCCCCACTCTTTCCTCAAGTACACTGAGTATCCCTATGATCATTGCTTGAAATTCTCCATCAGGCATCTTACTTATATCTGTTTCAGTTAGGTCTCTGGCTGTGGTCTTGCCCTGTTCTTTCATCTGTCTTCTCTTTTATCTAAGTCTCTGTGCCTGTTTCGCAGCGTTAGGAGTCAGCTATGTCTCCTGTTCTTGAGGGTAGTGGCTTTGTGAAGAAGAGGACCCGTAGTGCCCTGTAGTATAGTGTCCCCTGTTCCCCTCCCCCCCCCGCCCCAGGGCCTGGGCTTCTGTGAGTGTCTCCAGTGTGTGCTGTGTGTGCTCTGCTTTTGTGTCCTAGCTGCTTTATCCTTCAGACCAATAATCTGAAGAGGCTCTCTTTGCCTATTGTGGGCAGTGTTTGGTCTCTGGCCTGACTGTGGTGCATTTTAACTAGGTGTGCTCTGGTCTGCTTTGTGCAATGAGACCTGTTGCCACCAGCAATGGAACAGGCTTTGCAAAAGTCCCCAGGAGGGAGACATGTGTTGGCAGGAATTTGGGCCCATCTTCTGAGAGAGAGGTCCTGCTGTGCTGGGACTGAAGCAGGCTTGACGGGAAGAGCTGTTTTCTCTAGTGTGCAGTGGGGTGGGGCTTATGTAAGCAAGTTAAGTTGGGAGTGTTGGTGCTATGCTGGTTTCTGCAGCTGGCTTTGTGTTTATGCTGAGGGATGGAGGAAGGAAATAGTGCTGGCCAGTTCCTTTGTTCTCAGAGGGGTTTCTGCATGAAAGCTGCCTCTCTGGGACATGCTCAGAGATGAGCAACTAACCTCCGCACTGTGTAACCCAGGCACTGTTCAGATGGCTGTTTCTATGGTATATGTCTGTGGCTGTTTTCCTTCCTTGTTCTCCTCCAGTGTCCTCTGAGCTCTCCCAGAGCCGAGCATGCTGACCTTTAAATCTCCAGGCTTTAAGCTCCGTTGCAAGAGCTCATGAAATTTGGGCCCTCTTGCTTTCCAAACTGGTTGCTGTGGGGATTCATTTTCCCCATGCACTCCCCTATGTACTCCCCTATGTGCTAGTCTGTCTGTTGCCCTTCTCTGCGACCATGGCTCCCTTCCCACCATAGTGGCTATGATATGTTTTTTTCCTAAGCTGCATCTTCACACTTCCTACCTTCTTTGAAGTGGCCTCTTCTCTACCTTTAATTGTGGAGTTTGTTCTGCCAGTCTTCATATCAATTTCTGGGGTATTTAGGATGATTTGATAGTTATCTAGTTCTGTTCATGGAACGAGGCAAGCCTAAGGTCCTCCTACTCTGCCACAATCTTCCCCTCCCTATGGGTTTATTTTTGAATTCTTAATTTTATTCCATTAATTTGTGTATTTATTCTTATGCCAGTATGCTATTGCTTTGATTACATTAGCTTTATAATAAGTTTTGAAATCCGGAATTGTGAATCCTTTAACTTTGTTCTCCCTTTTTGAGATTGTTTTGGTTTTTCAGGATCTTTTGCAGTTCCAGATGATTTTAGGATTAGCTTTAACATTTCTGCAAAACTTCAGTTAGAATTTTGATAAAAGATTGTTTTGAATTTCTTGAGCACCATGGGTACTACTGCCCTCTTAACAAAATTAAGTCTTCCAGTTCATTAACTCAGATTATCTTTTTATTTATTTAGGTCTTGTCAAATTTCTTTCAACAATGTTTTGTTGTTTCCAGTGTGCAAGTCTCGAACCCCCTTTGTGAAGATTATTCCTAAGTATTTTATTCTTTAATCTTGTAAATGGAATTTTTCTTAATCTCACCTTGGATTGTTAACTTCTAGTATGTAGAAATACAAATTATCATTAGAACTCAAATTAATGGGCATTTTCTAGTACCCTGGCATATGGCTGATATATACTTAAGATCATGGGAGAATTCCGTCACACACTATTAGCAACCTGCCACCTTAACTGGGGTGTTCTGCACATTTATTTTGAGGAGTGAAATGGGAAATACATTTTACATATAAAATCATACTTTATTATCAAACTGTACAAATGATGTTGATTTGACATATTTCATGAGGAATGTGTCAAACTATTCAAAAGACTGTGGACACATATTTGCATGCATCTACCAAAACCAATGAAGGGTGAAAAATTCAGACAATCAAATGGAGTTTTACATCAAATAAGGTTTTTTTTTCTTCACTGAATTACTTAAATTTTTCATTTTTCAACAAAGTCATTGGTAAGTTTTGCAAAAGTAACACTTCAAAAGATATTTGTTTGATATTTCAGTGGTAGATTAGAATATAAAGAGTTCTTATATAAGGAAAACATCAAAATCATTTCTAAAGGAATGTTTTGGAAATTTACCTAAAAGAAGCATTTTCCATTTGTTATATGTAATTCAGGCATATAACTCTCAGAGAAAAATGAGAGCAATCAGGAAAAAATCCCTTTAAAATGCTATAATTTCAGTTTTTCTCAAATTACTTTTTAAACACATACTTTTGCAACAAAAAATTTCAACACTGCTGAATTTAAAATAGCCTATGAAATGTATATCTTCTCCCATGACAATTTTGTAGAACACCATTATTAATACATGTTGCTCAAGTGAGAGTTTAAAAAGCAAGACAAAACAAAACAATAAAAACATTCCTATGCAATGTCTTATTGCAGGATTTTTTTATACTAAAAAATTAATTTAAAGTTACATTATGTGACTTTTAGATTTAAATGTAGAATATTATGCTTTGTAGTAAATATATTCTCTTTTAAATGTCATATATATTTTTTGTTATTATATTTCTGTAAAGTAACTGTATTGCAACCAAAAGAATTTATCTTTGTCTTGATTATTCACCATAAAACAGGACCCACACAGCCAAGATATATGCTTAAGGTTATTTAATAACTGTTAAGGAGACAATTTTGATACATAAATCTGGAATGCCATCTATCAACCTAATGAAAAGAAATATTATTATCTTGCATTTTCTTTTTCTGTTATTGATTTGTGGTTCCCCAAGACCATTTTAAAAATGATCAGTGTAGTCCTTATCTGTCATGGAAACAAATTCATTCCTTGGGTGGCTGAGCAACATGAGGGGAAATAAATTTCTCAGAAATGTATCCCCTGAAGGTTGCTATCCATTATTGTTACAGGTTTGCAATGGAAATGGCTTTATTGCTACATAAAGAATATGATAAAATTTAAAGCTTGTGAAAGATGATTAGAAAACAAATATAATACATATTTATATCACCACCTGTGATACATTTATTTATTTACACAATATTTTGAGCATATTAGAACAAACGGAACAACTCAAATCTGAATGTTAATCCAAAGAGTAATAAAAATGAAAAATGAATGCCTGCAAGGAATTGGGAATTAAAATATTCTCACATTTCCAACGTTAGAACTCAATGTTTTCTGCTTAGATGGCAAGCATGAGCTCTATAGATCAGATTTCATCATATCAGTGTTTCATTTAACTTTACTTCTTGGACATTGCACCTAGTCTGAACTTTAGTAAGAGTTAGAGAGATTATGCCACTAGAAAAATAAAGCAGAAGTTAATGGAATTAATCCTATCACGTGACTGTAGCTGTGTTATCTCTGCCCACTCTTACACAAGCTGGAAAGAGCCACATCACATAACTTGGAATATGTTATTTTTATTATTTTAAAATGTCTTTTTGTTTATAGGTCTATACACAGGTAAACACATATATTTACTTAAAATAATAATATATATTTTGACCTGTGTGTGGATATATTGGCAAGGATACTAAAGTTTCCATATTTTTATAAAAGCAAATAACTGGAATACCTTTAGTGTTCTACTAACTGTACTAATTATCATTCTCTGTGGAGACTGAGATTTTGCATAATTTTAAGTTGCTCTTATGTATAATATTTAAAGTTTTTTTCCCCGATGGCTTCGTTTTCCTTTTGTGATTAAAATTAGCAAAGCTCAGTAATTGGGTTTATTATACTTATTACCTACCTTTTTTGGTAAAATCTTGTTTTCTTGAAAGCATGATTCTTACAAGTATGCAGATAGAAAGTTTCATTAGGGGCGCCTGGGTGGCTCAGTCGGTTAAGCGGCTGCCTTCGGCTCAGGTCATGATCCCAGCGTCCTGGGATCGAGTCCCGCATCGGGCTCCCCGCTCTGCAGGGAGCCTGCTTCTCCCTCTCCCTCTGCCTACTTGTGTTCTCTCTCTATCTCTCTGTCAAATAAATAAATAAAATCTTTAAAAAAAAAAAAAGAAAGTTTCATTAGAATAAACAAAGTGAAGAAAATAATATAGTATTACAAAGTTTACTGTAGTAATCGATAAATGCAGTTCTTCACATTAGCATTCAGGTTTCTAAACTCAGATGTAAATCTATATTTGATATCTTGGTGCCAAAGTAGCTAACACTTGAATTTTCTTTTAGATCAATCTGATGTATCAAGTTTAAGAATTCTCCATTAAGGATTAATGCAGTAAAAATATGGCTATTCTAAGTCCTTGTATCTTTTTAATATCTAGTTTCAGTGATCCATTGAAAAGCCAACACCTTTAAACTGAGAGGAAACACGCTGTATTGTAAGGTCTAAAATTCCAAGTGCTACTTGGACATCTTTGAACCTCACAGGGCCCCAAAAGCCTAACGATGAGCTCCCCTGCTCTTGCCAAATACATGTTCCCGGTATTCCCTCCCCAGTAGGAACAGCTCCTCACTTGGCTAGCTCCTCTACCAGCCAGATCAGCTGTGCTCTACCTGGTCCTCAACCTAACTTTTCCAGCCTGTGGAATTATTCAAACAAATCAATCACGTCCTCCCAAAGGAACCAAGAGACACCTCATCCTCTTATTAGTCCAGAGCCTGCTTCCACATCCCTGTTCAGTCTGTTCCCAAGTGCAAATACCATGTGGCCTTGCGTGGCATGCAGTGTCCTTCTCCCCTAGGCTGTGGATATAGTTGACCGATGAATGGCTGTCAAGTCTGTCTGGCCAGTTTTGGATTTTGTGTTTGGCTATCTGATACTATTTAGTGCCCGAGATCCCTCCCTCACCATTACAGTGAATAGGAGGTGATCACAACACACATATATGTGATGAAAAGGAATAGTTTATTAAATTGTTTTTTTTTAAATATCTTTATGAGTTTTAAATGTCTTTAATATAAATGAAAACTTTGCTGTTGTTTTATTGTTGTTGTTCTGTGCCATTCAAATGGAATAACGTAATTTTAGCTTATATTATAAAATATTATTTCTAGAAGAATATAAAATGGATTTTAGCAAAGTGGGATGATTGGCTTTTTTGAATAATAACCTATCAACTTACGTTTATTTAACTCAGCAATAAAAAGCTCTTAGACACGAGTAATGAATGGTGTTCTTGCTTCATACATTATTTCTAAATTTATCTAACATGGTAGCAGTAATGTATGAGAATTGTATTTATGTTGCTAGATCTGTGTGTGGTCATTATTGTTGACTGGATTCCATATAATTTGTAGGGCCTACCAGAATCACCTTAACCTTTTCTGATTTAATTATAGGCGTTCAAAATTTAATAGGACATTGTGTATTCCCTGAATTTTAAGAAATAGTTTCCATACCTGACAGTAAATGCCACTATTAGCCAATTAAATGGTGAAAACAGGGCCATCTAAAGCACACACATTCACACATAGACACATTTGCACACATTTTTGCTAAAATAGGGTTGCAAAATACTGGCTTCGTAGGGGTAATATTTTGGGTTTCTCCATAACTATCAAGTCACTAATTCTACTCCTCTGTTTACTTTTAAAACGTTAATCTTGGGCGCCTGGGTGGCTCAGTTGGTTAAGCGACTGCCTTCGGCTCAGGTCATGATCCTGGAGTCCTGGATCGAGTCCTGGATTGAGTCCCGCATCGGACTCCCTGCTCGGCGGGGAGTCTGCTTCTCCCTCTGACCCTCCCCCCTCTCATGTGCTCTCTCTCATTCTCTCTCAAATAAATAAATAAAATCTTTAAAAAAAAAAAAACCAAAACGTTAATCTTAACATGGGCTTGGAAAAAACCTACATAATTTTTCTATACCTAAATCAACCTATACCTATAAAAATTAATCAAAATTAATAATTACCATATTTTAGACATTAGAGTATTTTTATATACCCTGATTTACTCTAAAAAAATGGAAAATTTGCATTAAAATCCTTTCTCCAAAAGGTATCTTCAGTGTTATAATCTAAGGGTACATTGGTTTGTAATTGCTGCTGAATAACCAGCACTGAGCAAAGACGTATTAAATGGCATCACATGTTAGAGAGGCATGTAGCATAATTGCCTAAAACTCAGAATATCTGGTTCTGTAACTAATTTTCTTCCTAACCATTTATATTTCTCAGGTGTAAAATTAAGTAATCTCAAATTCCTATTCAAATCTAGAATATTGTTACTCAACATGTTTGGAAGCTATGATAGAAAGCCCTGGGTTGATTTTCTTTTTACAGAGGTTTATTGGAAAAAGATTCTGAGCACCTGAGCTATGCTCAACAAATTGTGAAATCCTTTATAAAATATTAATCTGAACTTAGTAATATGCAACTTATTTTTGTCAAACAGAAGGCACTGTTATCATTGAACACTAAGTTCTATTCAATTGATGGGATGTATTTGCCTTCGAAGGACATATGCAGTAAGATATTTTGATGACTAAGGAAGTAAATACACAAATGTATAAATTAATCATTATGGATTTGCCATTTTTAATTTTTTATGTTCAATTTTATAAAAAATACACATTTGTAGGCTTTTTGAATACTGTATAGCAGCAAATCCAAAACAAATGATAGACTTGTACTGGGAGATGTTAAATATAAGTTGAGGGAAGATCAGTTATTCAAATGAATAAATGATTGCACATTTATAGATAATAGATTCTTGTGATATTTTAACAGCTTTACAATCTTGGAGCTCATTTTATTAATTATACTTTGTGAAGTATTAACACATCTCAAATGTATGTATGTTAATTTCATAAAAACAGAAAAATTTTAACCTGATTGTGTGAAATTCATTGACAGAGTTGTGTTTAATATTTCTTGTTTCTTAGACTTTTGCAGACAAAGCCTTAATTGTTTTAAGAGTAAGCACCTGAATTTTCCCACACATATGAAACATTGGGAATGGGCTGTAAAAGTTAGCTAGAGAATGTTTAGTTTTTTTCTGACTTAGAAGTGAGGAGAGCCCAAAGACAATTTCATCAAAACCTTCAAACAAACAACTGCTCTCAGTGGAGAGTACCAGAAGGCATTTGTATAGCTAAAGGAAAAAAGACTATAGCAGACATTAAATCTAAAAGTGGTGAAAACTGCAAATTATTTGGCATATCTGTTTCTGACACAAATAGTTAATTTCCTTTTATCTATTATAGTAAAAGTGCTTTCTTTAATCTTTTTAAGTCTCCCTTAAGAATATTAAACTATGAGCCAGAAGAGTCATGTTCAAGGTCTCACAGTAGCATTCTGACTCTGAGCAATTCCCCCAGACTCTTTTAGCTTCAGTTTTATTTTCTAGTATTAGGATAAAGTAATCATAATAATAATTGTTCTTTTGGGGGTTATTGTGAGATCAAATAATTATTTGCTTGAAAGTACATTGTAAATCTAAGCACTATGCCAGTATTAATAATTAGTTTAGAACTACACCTTATAATGCTAATGAGTTTTGATCAGGTTGGGCAAATGAGTGGGCAAAAGATAAGATAGGCTAATCATGTCTGTGGAAGTGGGAGAACAATGCTACCATACTCAGGACTATACATTTAGTGAAGAAATGTGTTCCCTCTTTCAGCACAGAACTTTAATTGAACCTCAAGCTGTATGGCCCTTAAAGAATTTTAAGAAAAAAGAATCTTTCACAAAGCAATGCTTATTCTTGAATGATCTTCCTCTTGAAGTCATTGGGGCCAAAGAGTGTGTTTTCCGCACAAGTCAATTACAGCTTTTATTTTCCCATATTTGCTTTCTGGCTTTAGTACTTCATGATTGTATAAACTTCAGTAGGTTAATTCAGTCTCTAAACTTCAGCTTCTCCTGTATGGATAGTAATGCCAACTGCCACTTAAGTTGAAAGAACAGAACTCAATAGGGCACAGTCATTAAGCATTTTTATTTTCTTCCCACATCCATTGAAGACCTTGGTGAATTAGTTGTTGGTCTCTCCTACCTTGAAATCTCAAAGTCCCATGACTTTGTAGTCACTCTCTGATTAAACAAACAAACAAGTCCTGAGGGCATTTCTAGTCAAAAAAATATTTGCTCTCATTTCATTAAAATGTTGGTGCACTTAAACAGTCCAAATTCCAACCTTAACTTGAGGTTAAAACACCTGTCCTCTCAGACCTTGAATATATTGCAGGGTGAAAACCAATGATAGGGAAGGCAGGTATGGTCAGCTTCTTGATTTACTGTTCTGCTAATTTTCCTCTTCTTCCTATCCTGCAACATTTAATCTCCTCACTTGTTAGTTTGCTTCTGGCTCCTCCAGTATTAGGGTGGGTCCAGGGAGAGAGGAGATGTGATGCCTTCTAGAAATGAAATGGCATTTGTGTTTTCTAAGCTTGGTAGATGTTGAATGTTAATTCTTGCCTTGGGTATTTTGGCTTCTCAGAGGTTCCCTCCCTATGAACCTCTAATTGTACTCCCTCTTTGAGCTCCTGGTTATCCTCTTCTACTTGACCTGTCTTATCCTTGTTCATGGCTTTATTTTTCTCCAAAGTACTTTTCACAGTTTGACATATTTATTTGTTTATTGTCTGTCTTCCCTCAATAGAATATAAGATTTTAGAAGGCAGATATTACCTGTTTTATTTATTATTGTATCTCCTGTGCCTAAAAATAGGTAGTAGACATTCAGTAAATATTTTTTTGGAGGAATGAGCGAATAAATGAACGTTTGGAGGGAGATCCTCTATAATGGAGTTTCGTTGAGTCTTTATTTGCTGTGATCCAAAAATAAGCTCTTGTTGGCTCCTGTCAAAATATCCACAGTTAGTTCCCCTGAAACACTGCAGTTGACAAGTGAAAGTGCAGCTACTT